GGTCCAGTCTGGGTCACTCTGTACCCCTACAGTCCAGAGATCAGGGGTCCAGTCTGGGTCACTCTGTACCCCTACAGTCCAGAGATCAGGGGTCCAGTCTGGGTCAGTCTGTACCTCTACAGTCCAGTCCGGGACCAGTCTGAGAGCGGGGGGCAGAGAGAGAGCACGCAGTACGCGAACACATGAACACATGAACACATGAACACATGAACACATGAACACAGCACACGAAAGAAGCTGCGGCGCTGGAGAAAGAGAGAAACTGGGTTCGCAGCCCGAGGACCGCTGGGAGAGAGGGACGCCGGGACAGGGGCGCGAGGAGGACGTGCCGCCGGAGGCCGAGGCCCCACGCTCTGCAGCGCCGCGCGGCGAGGCCGGGCAGGCAGTTAGCGCTGATGGATCTCCAGACTTGTCTCTTAATCTGCAGGGCCCGCTGATCAATACCCCATTTCCCCTCCTCGCAGGACCTTTTCGATCCCCTGGCAGCGGAATTAGCGCCCCACTCTCGCGCGAGCAGGCTGTGCTGCGCGGTGTGAGAGTATTCAGTGTCCTGGATTCGTCCTGAGACGCGCTCATGTCTTCGCTTCGTTAAGGATCTCGGGGCACCCTGTGTGGGGCTCCCTCCGCGCCTCGCGGCCCCCGGAGCCCCTGCCGCCTTCGCACGCACGGCGGCGGCGGCGCGGGGAGACTCCGCTGTCCGCTAGCCACGCGCCGGAAACGGGACCCAGGTGCCGAACACCACCGACACCACGCCAAGGGACCGCAGAGCACCGATCACATCAGCGTGAGACAGACCGAGGGACAGGCTACACTGACAGAGACAGACAGGTCACAGACAGACAAGACAGAGAGACAGACATGTCACAGACAGACAGGATAGAGAGACAGACAGAGAGCCAGTGAAACAGACAGAGAGAGACAGACATGTCACAGACAGATAGGATAGAGAGACAGACAGACAAGACAGAGAGACAGACATGTCACAGACAGACAGGATAGAGAGACAGACAGA